CAGCTAGGCTCTATAGGACAGTATAGGCTGGTGGCCGACCCCCACCCCCATCTTCAAATGGCTATTACTCGGCCAAATGTGACCCCTGAGGTATAATATTTGTAGCAAATGACAGTCTAACATATCTCCCGTCTGTTTCCGTAGAAAACAGAAATTGGGAATTTTTTCAAACTTTCGAGAAAATCGACTTTGAAGTTACACCCTAATTTTCAAGAGGAAAATCGCATACATTTTGGTTTGGGAAAAAGTCTCAGACTAAAAGTGCCGTAGCAGGCACAGATCGCAAGACAGGAACCTGAAATTCGGAACCAAGCAACTTCAGACGGTTGTGTACCTGCAGTCCAAATTGCAACTGCACATCTCTGATAGTTTTCGAACGGCAGTCTGTCAAAGTTTTGGTCTTAACCCCAACCTGTGCAGCGAGGCTCTATAGGACCTTATAGGCTGGTGGCCGTCTCCCACCCCCATCTTCAAATGGCCATTACTCGGCCAATTTTGACCCCAAAGGGTTATTTTTTTAACAAATGACAGTTTAATATGTTCCCCGTCTATTTCTATCGAAAACAGAAATTGAGAGTTTCAAACTTTCGAGAAAATCGACTTTGAAGTTACACCCTTATTTTCAAGAGGAAAATCGCATACATTTTGGTTTGGGAAAAAGTCTCAGACTAAAAGTGCTGTAGCAGGCACAGATTGCAAGATAGAAACTTGAAATTTGGAACCAAGAAACTTCAGACGGTTGTGTACATGCAGTCCAAATTACAACTGCACATCTTGGATAGTTTTTGAACGGCAGCCTGTCAAAGTTTTGGTCTTAACCCCAACCTGTGCAGTGAGGCTCTATAGGCTGTATAGGCTGGTGGCCGACCCCCACCCCCATCTTCAAATGCCTATTACTCGGCCAATTGTGACCCCTGAGGTATAATATTTGTAGCAAATGACAGTTTAACATATCTCCCGTCTGTTTCCGTAGAAAACAGAAATTGGGAATTTTTTCAAACTTTCGAGAAAATCGACTTTGAAGTTACACCCTAATTTTCAAGAGGAAAATCGCATACATTTTGGTTTGGGAAAAAGTCTCAGACTAAAAGTGCTGTAGCAGGCACAGATTGCAAGACAGAACCTGAAATTTGGAACCAGGCAACTTCAGACGGTTGTGTACCTGCAGTCCAAATTGCAACTGCACATCTCTGATAGTTTTCGAACGGCAGCCTGTCAAAGTTTTGGTCATAACCCCAACCTGTGCAGCGAGGCTCTATAGGACAGTATAGGCTGGTGGCCGACCCCCACCCCCATCTTCAAATGGACATTACTCGGCCAATTTTGACCCCAGAGGTATAATTTTTGTAGCAAATGACAGTTTAACATGTCCCCCGTCTATTTGCGTCGAAAACAGAAATTGGGATATTTTTCAAACTTTCGAGAAAATAGACTTTGAAGTTACACCCTTATTTTCAAGATGAAAATCGCATACATTTTGGTTTTGGAAAAAGTCTCAGACTAAAAGTGCTGTAGCAGGCACAGATTGCAAGACAGGAACCTGAAATTTGGAACCAGGCAACTTCAGACGGTTGTGTATCTGCAGTCCAAATTGCAACTGCACATCTCTGATAGTTTTCGAACGGCAGCCTGTCAAAGTTTTGGTCTTAACCCCAACCTGTGCAGCGAGGCTCTATAGGACCGTATAGGCTGGTGGATGACCCCCACCCCCATCTTCAAATGGACATAACTCGGCCAATTTTGACCCCAGAGGTATAATTTTTCTAGCAAATGACAGTTTAACATGTCCCCCGTCTATTTCCGTCGAAAACAGAAATTGGGAAATTTTAAAAACTTTCGAGAAAATCGACTTTGAAGTTACACCCTTATTTTCAAGAGGAAAATCGCATACATTTTGGTTTTGGAAAAAGTCTCAAACTAAAAATGCTGTAGCAGGTACAGATTGCAAGACAGGAACTTGAAATTTGGAACCAAGCAACTTCAGACGGTTGTGTACCTGCAGTCCAAATTGCAACTGCACATCTCTGATAGTTTTCGAACGGCAGTCTGTCAAAGTTTTGGTCTTAACCCCGACCTGTGCAGCGAGGCTCTATAGGACCGTATAGGCTGGTGGCTGACCCCCACCCCCATCTTTAAATGGCCATAACTCGGCCAATTGTGACCCCAGAGGTTTAATTTTTGTAGCAAATGACAGTTTAACATATCTCCCGTCTATTTCAGTCGAAAACAGAAATTGGGAATTTTTTCAAACTTTCGAGAGAATCGACTATGAAGTTACACCCTTATTTTCAAGAGGAAAATCGCATACATTTTGGTGTGGGAAAAAGTCTCAGACTAAAAGTGCTGTAGCAGGCACAGATTGCAAGACAGGAACTTGAAATTTGGAACCAAGCAACTTCAGACGGTTGTGTACATGCAGTCCAAATTACAACTGCATATCTCTGATAGTTTTTGAACGGCAGTCTGTCAAAGTTTTGGTCTTAACCCCAACCTGTGCAGCGAGGCTCTATAGGACAGTATAGGCTGGTGGCCGACCCCCACCCCCATCTTCAAATGGCCATAACTCGGCCAATTTTGACCCCAGGGGTTTAATTTTTGTAGCAAATGACAGTTTAACATGTCCCCCGTCTATTTGCGTCGAAAACAGAAATTGGGATATTTTTCAAACTTTCGAGAAAATAGACTTTGAAGTTACACCCTAATTTTCAAGATGAAAATCGCATACATTTTGGTTTGGGAAAAAGTCTCAGACTAAAAGTGCTGTAGCAGTTACAGATTGCCAGACAGGAACTTGACATTTGGTATGGTCAGAGGTATAATTTGTGTCAGTTGTCTACACCAGCTGACAACTTACTGTCAAAATATCTACCAGAGGCAGGTGCTTCGAAATATAGGTTGGTGGCGGAAAGTTTAACATGTACCTCGTCCGTCGAAGACAGAAATTCGGATTTTTTTCAAATTTTCAAGAAAATCGACTTTGAAATTTCATTCTTACATTCAAGAGTAAATTCTCCATTTTGTTTAGGATTACCTAACATCGCACTGGCGTTCCAAACATGACTAAGACGAGGCATAATATTTGTTGACATTGATTTTAAGGATACAGAAATAAAAGGTCAATGCAAATGAATATTTGTAACCTCCCACCCCCCTCATTCTCAACATCCACCATGACAACAGAGACTATATAAACATGGCTCTTTTATATAGGCTCTGATGATCATAAGAGTTCAATGCGATCATACAGTTCTATGATGCGATCTTGTAATCTTTCTTCCCGCCTTATTTATTGCCAATCCAATCAACCTTGACCTTCAATCATCGCCTCAATATGAAACCGGAAGTGAACTTTGTTGAGAGACATACCTTAGCAGAATGACATGAATTTATAATCTTTTACTACTAATTAGGATGTCTGCTGTGTTTTGAATATTATTTCATGTGGGGTAGGTGGTTTTAGTCACGTTAAAATCCTTCTTATATATTACCTGAGCTATTTGAACAGTTGGAAAAGTAAATGATGTTATGAATCACGAAGAAGGGTGATCAGTCCCAGTTCAAAGCTAAAGGCAGAGGCAAAAGCGGAACAACAGAAAATGTCATTTGCACTCTCTGGTTCTGGCAGTTAATGAGTAATAACAATAGATAAACCCTGATACCCATATCAAAATGGTTTAATGGCTAATATACTGTGATTGTGCTCACTGTAACTTAAATGGCAATTCAATTGCAGTGGAGACATTTCTGATGATGAATATTATTAATGAACCTATAAGCTTAAATATAATAATGGAAATTGCTTATTAATTGTTTTTGTTGAATTGATGGACCAAGTTGATATAGGTATAGATAAGGCATAAGCTTATTCATTAATATCCGAAATAGTATTTCTGAGATTGATAACAAAGAGGCCAAGTAAAGCCTATTATAAATGTGTCGCAGTGACTATGAATGTAAATCAAATCCTCAACTTAGTGGAGCCGAGGTTTACAAGGAATACCTGCTGCCACCAACAGACATATTAATTCACACAGTTTGATGATTTCCCTTCAGACACTTTTGACTTATTGTTGAAATTTGAGCCATCAAATCGAAGTGTATCATGTATCCATAATTATCTCTATGTTTGATAGTCAGAGACTGTATCAACAAGACGTTCAACTTTCAGATACCAGTACCCCAAATTTCAGAGAGAAGATAACCTTGTGAATGAAATACATAAAAAGTTAAAAGTTATTGTAATGTTACAGGTCCAATTGGTATTCTGTCACTGTGCCTTCAGACCTAAGTGTTAAAATTGCAACCAGTACTTTTCATTATCTTGAATTCTAATTATGATACGCTCACTTCGTAATAATGTTCTTCTAATAATTTGGTATGTTCGCACTTTTTGGAAAGAGGTTTAGATTAGGCCAATGTTCCAGACAGCCATCTGTATTTTGTTCACTGTCTGTAAAGCTGTCTGTCACTTGCTGTTGGTAGAAAGGGTATCTGTGTAATATAAGTTTAAATCATGCTCCTGTACATGGCAATTAAGTTTCAATCCACAGTGGAATTCACAGACAATTTGTAAAATTCTACCAAAACCCCTGCAAAGGTCTTATGTGATACTTGTGAGCAAATTTTGCAGGGGTTACGTCATAAAACAAAGCACTTAGTTTTAGTGGAATTATGGGAACCACAGATGTCTGATTGAAAATTGGAATGGTGCAAATTGATGCTATCAATTAAACTGTGCTAAAAAAAGAATTTCCACTTTTTGTTGTTCGGGGCTCTGCTAACAATATTTTGATTGTTCTTATTGGACATCTCTAAATAGGCTACCGGTACACAAAGATCATAAATAGAGAAACGTTAATGATTTCACAGAGAAACATAGGCCCCTTTACAATAATACCTGCAGTAATATGAGAAATTGTCTTATTTGTTCCAGTGCCATGGTACCGGTATGCTGATTGTTACAAGGAATGGGTTAGTTTAAATTGATCTGGTCAGTAAAAATGACCACAGAAGATCTTCTTTCTCCAAACCAACTGGTTAAAGACAGATGGAAAGTGGTGAGTAGAGAAAATATTTTGTAAATTATTATAAAGCTTATTTAAAGCATAGGGGCATATATCTTTTTTTCATAGGTCGAAAAAAATTTTGTTTCAAATTTAAGAAAACTTAACATCCAAATCATGAGAAATGTGTTTTGGTAAGAGAACTACTGTTGGAATTTATGTCAAATAAACACCTAATTGTAGAGAGATATGTCTCTGAAGGTTTCAACTAATAGAATAAGCCATTATAAAGTCAAACACCAAAACTGCTTAATTAACAATTAATAAGCTCTGTTTTTAATGAACCCTTTTCAAATCAAATTCAGTTTGATCAAGTAGATAAATGTAAGTAACATATTTTAGAAATATTTTCAGATATGATTTACCATGTTATTGATAATAAAAATTTTACATACTGCCCCTTTGATTGTATGGGCTGAAGTAACTTACATACTTACTTAGGGTTTAGAACTTAACTCAGCATTGGTCAGTAATGCCTTTTGTATAGAAAATGCTTTTATTCAATTGGGAGGGGAGAAAAAACCCAAGCCCCATTTGCAGCGTGTTGATCATGTAATTGTTCCACCAAAATTGCATATCGCCAATGGACCAGTCTATGTTCAGCGTATTGATACAATGTCGTATAATTTTGATGTAGATTTAAGTAACCTGTAACCTTAATGCACCCTCTTTCATTATTTGCTTTCCTCAACAGTTTTAATTAGTTTCAGGGCAGCATTAATTTTTAAAAATTCAATAAAATGATGAAACACTTAATTTTGACGAAGAATTTGTGATTCCTCATGCATACTTTTGATTATATAGGGTTTCAACTTAGGGTCATTGACAAGTGTATATATCATAGAAGTTAATGTCCTGCTTCAAGAGATGGTCAGACTGAAAAGTGAATAAGTACCATACAATATAACTACTACAGAGCGGATCCTGAATCAATATAAAACTGGTATAATTATACATTAACAAAATCAATACCATTATACTTGTTTTCTAAGTATCTTTTACAGAAACGCTATCTTCTTTTGAATTAGCCTTTTCACTGACTGCATAATATGATGTTCTATTTGAATTCATAGGTTAAATGCAGACTTTCAATTGGGATTTCTCCTCATATACAATTGGTTGAGTCAACATACATAATATTGAGTCCTTGTAATCTAATTGTCCTTGACAGAGGGTTCCTACTCATCCTCTAATATTATTTGAAGAATCAAAATCATTCATTAATTAAGATTATTTTAGTAGGCATGGGTAGGCCTATAGACAGAGTAGACACTAAAATTAGTACTTATGACTAAGGTTGGGTGTAATAATTGATAAGCATTTATAATTTTGTTTTTTAATTACATAATTCTATGTATCCATCATAAGGTCAGTCTTCCACAAAGTTTCCCTTCAGCACATTACTTACCCACAATAAACAATAATTATTCATATTAATATATACTTCTTTGACACAAAAATAAACCATAGAATTAAAATTTTGACATTCTTTTTTATTTAGTACTTAAAAGATTTCTCAATTAAATTATTTCGTGCATCAATCTATTGGCAGCCTGTTGTGGATAATTGATTTAAATTTGTAATGGATAGCCAGACCTTGTGATTTTTCTGTAACCCTACACTTTGTTGTTAATTGGTAACCTCTATGTGGGAAAGGGTAGTGAAAAAATGGCAAATTGAACTCAAATTTTTTCCTAAGATATATATGAATAAATTTATATTAGCTTATATGTTGCATGTTTGGAGAATGTTTTGATCCAGAATGATGATAGTCATGTTAGTCATCAATCAATATTTACCTTGTACTAATCATGGTAAGGTCCTTGATGCTAGATGAACTTGTCTATAATAGTCTAGATCAATAATAAGTCTGTCTGACACTGTATATATACAGAGCAATTGATATATAACATTTTATATTAAGAATATCATATTTCACTCAATAACAAGGATAAGTCCATAAAAGGTGGATATTCGTCTAATTCTTGGAGCTTACTAGCCCATACAAAGTACATCTGAATGATAAAGGTTGTTGGATACCATCATAAAGTTTTTAACCATCTTGCACATGTTGCCAACAAGTGTGCACAAGTTTATGAGTTCACTGCATTGCACATTTAGAGATAAATAACAAGTTTTGTTATCATATTTTGAACATTTTGTTTACAATATAAACTTATGTATTCAAAGAAACAAATTGTCTACCGTAATCAAATACCCAGTACCCAAAAATAAAAAGTGAAAAGTGAAAACTAATATACTGGTACCTATGGCAAGCTGTAAGTCAAAGTGCTGAAGTCAAGGAAGCCGATAAGGCACACATGCAATGAATCCAATTTGCAATCCTAATCTATACATTAGAATTAGATAACTATTTCGTATCATTTTGTTTTCTGATATTTTTTAGTCACATTGTAATCTGTATAGTTTTTCTACAATTGGCATGTTCCAATGATGTCATGTAACCAATCGAAGCAAACCTGTTACTTGATATAATAAGGAATTGAGTGATATCGAAACTCAAAGAGTCATATTGCTCAATTTTCCACAAGTTCTTATTTTATCACTTCAATTGGTTAAAAATACTACGTTAGGGTATCCTTTGGTAGCAAACTTGTTGGATTACCACTAAAAATGTCAGAAAAGATAAAAAAAAATGTAATCTGATTTTAATTGGTTGAATATATGATTCATGGCTTTAGCTAAAAAATTTAATATTTCAATTTATCTGATTATTCTTGTGCATTATAGTTAAAGAAGATTGGTGGGGGTGGTTTTGGAGAGATTTACGAGGCAACAGATTTAGTTAATAAAGAATGTGTTGCTTTAAAATTAGAATCAGCCAAACAACCAAAACAAGTATTAAAAATGGAGGTAGCTGTCTTGAAGAAATTACAAGGTAAATAGTTAGCTGTTTGATCCAGACATCATAATAATAATAATGCTATTAAGTTAGATTTCTGGAAAATTGGGAAGACATTAAAATGAATTTTTATCCCCAACAATAAGATTCAGTCTGCTTCTTTTCTATTTTTCAGGAAAAGATCATGTCTGTAGATTTATTGGTTGTGGAAGAAATGAGAAATATAATTATGTGGTCATGTCACTGCAGGGTAAAAATCTAGCAGAATTAAGGCGTGGGCAACCTAAGGGTTGTTTTGGTCTGAGTACTACATTAAGATTAGGTTCTCAGATATTGAAAGCTATTGAATCAATACATGATGTGGGCTTTCTACATAGAGATATAAAACCAGTAAGTATTTGTTTTCCATTTATGGAAACCCTACAATCATTGTATCAGGGTTCTCTTATAAGAGAACTTATTGATAAAATTCGCAATCATAAAACTGGTTTTTTCTACTGTGAGAAAATAATTATTTCCAATAATATGATTTCAAGAATGAAAACATTGTCAGACAGCATAATCAGATGATTTCCATCAATATTTTCACATATGGTCTGTTTGATTTAAATTTCCATATATTATCATGCCTTTCATTAGGGTAGCAGGAACAAATGACCAAGTCTGTCTGCTTGTAAAATACTGTGATTCATGGATTTATTATCAATTCATTGGGTCAAGTCAATTTTTCCTGTTTTTTGTTTCTTTTATTTTTTGCAGTTTATAATTATATTTTTTCAAATATTCTGTACTGGTACTAAATGGCCAAATTAATTTGAAACTTTTGGGGGATAAAATTTGTGTATTGGCTGATACACTGGTTCTAAAAAATTAAATGTCTATGAATGATAATGATTTCACAGTATAGAAGTATACTTGGCACATCCTTTAAAGTTATTGTGCAGGTTTCAGTAGATATTTTACATCTGCATACTGATACATTGCCAAGTTTTAGATTCCTTACTATAATAAACTTATAACAGTTGTAAGGTGATATTTCACTGATCTTTTATACTATTAAGTAGAACTTTACACTTGTAATTTATAAGATTAGACTAAGCTTAGTTGACTTATATGGTAAATTTTGGATGAAATGAATTAATGATTTGAGAGAGATCTTATTTGAGATCATCTAAAACAAATATCCAAAATCCCCATACTTTTAAAAATTTTCAAGAACTAAAAAAATGTCAACATATTGCATAAATTTGAAGAAGATTTGAAAATTTTACACTTTTATTTTACATGATGTAAATAAATTTACATAGTTTCATTGATTTCATTGATAGTCATATTTTGCATATAAAAATTTGTATTATAAAGGACAGCTAGTATCAAGTTAAATCTAATAATGTAAAAAACAGTTTGAAAGTTGTTTGTCACACAATTCTTCTAAATATATTACTTTATTTATTTATTTCAGTCTAATTTTTCTATGGGTAAGCCACCAAGCAATAGTCGTAAGGTATATATGTTAGATTTTGGGCTAGCTAGACAGTATACCAATGCTTCTGGTGAGGTTAGACCACCGAGAGCAGCTGCTGGTTTTAGAGGAACTGTCAGATATGCTTCAGTTAATGCTCACAAAAACAAGGTATATAATATATTATCTTTGACCCAAATTTTTGAAGAAGAAATCCAGAAAGCAATTATGAGTTAGGTTGCAAATGAAATTAAATGTTAAAAGGACAGATTTTTTAGGTATTTGTGTTGCTACTCCATAAATCGCTAGTGAAAGTCTAGGACGATTCCCATTTATTTAAGTAAGTTGGAAAAGTTCGGTGCTCAAATTAATGACAAATATGCCCCAAAATATAAAGAAATATGTCCTTATCTGAATCTAACTGAAAAGATTACTTTAATATTTTGAGGTTGCTTTGTTTTTTGTTTTTTTACGGATTTGAGTAAAATTAAAGCCAAATTGTAGAGAAATGCGTCTATTTTGATGTATTGTTTACACTGTTTGTAATAATACAGCATAGTTCCCCTTGAAGTTTTATTTTGTTGTGCTAATGTGTTAATTATCTATTATTTACAGGAAATGGGTCGTCATGATGATTTATGGTCTCTGTTTTATATGCTAGTAGAATTTATAGTGGGTCAGTTGCCATGGAGGAAAATTAAAGACAAAGAACAAGTTGGTTTAATGAAAGAAAAATATGATCATATCCAACTATTGAAAAACATGCCATCAGAATTTCGTGCCATATTGGAACATATACAGAAATTAGAATATTATGACAAACCAGATTATAATATGTTACATAATTTATTTGAACAATGTATGAGAAGAAAGAATATTAAAGACTCAGATGCGTATGATTGGGAGAAGAACTATGGTGATACATCTATTACTTTAACTACTACATCTCAACCTGTAGCCATCAAACAAACAGTTGGGCCTCTTGGGTAGGTTTTATCTTCATTAAACATTTTCACAGAACTTCTATATAGCAATTTCTCATAAGAGTAAAAAAGGATTTTAAATTAGTTTATTATTATAAAAAGCTTTATACTAACCAGTATGCTTACATTTCATTTTGCTCTTTGGTTTATTAATGTTGTTTGTACCTGGATATTGCCCAACTGTGTGCAGAAGAGAAGGATATCAAAAGTTTTCCACTTTTAATCCTTGATATTGCCTTTGATATTGAACCTTCAATCACATATGTAGCATATTATCAAAAGTCTAATCCAAACCAAGATGATAAAATCTCAACTTATATTTGTATTGTTTCTGTCTGTTACTTACAAACAAATCACAAGTTGTTCTTGGATAATTTCATACACTTCTGCCATATCATTTCAGTGTGGTACAAGTAGGACCTAATACACCTCATGGTGGAGCTACTGAAGTTATAGATGGTAACCTTAGTCAAGAGGATGGTGAAGATAAAAAATTACCTGCTGATCTCATAATAACTGATAATCGCTATCAACGAGATATTGACAATCGACTACGAGAAGAAAATGGTGACCCTGCACTCTCTCCAAAACTACAACGTGAACAGACGGAGAAAGAAATCAAATATGAACCTGAGCAAAAAGCAAAAGACAATTGTGATAAAGACAATGATGTTAAAGGTTTAATGATGTCAAAAGAGGAAAAAAATCGTGAAATAATGTCTGAAACAAGATTAAAAGAGTTTGATAATGAAATTAAAGATAATCAAGAGAATGTGAAGTCAAATGTAAAAGATCAGGAAAAAAACCTTGGTGATAAAAAGAATGGTACATCAGATACTCATGTACTAGAATATGAACCAAAGCAGACATCAGACTTGTATAAGTACAAAAGTGGGGAAAAAATCCGATCTTTTTCAACTTTGCCTCAATCTTTTTCTAATGAGAATATAGATAATGTAGATAGAAGTAGACAGTCTAGTAGAATATTGAGTAAGAATGTTACTGTAGATAATGATGAAGATGGTCCTGAAGTCACTTACTTCAGCAAAGCCCCAGTCACATTTGCCATGATGCAAAACGAAGAAAAGACACATACTGTAGGTGATGATAACATTGATGAAAATGCCACAAGAGCTGCTCCATTTACTGTTGCTAGTCAATTATGTGGTGTCTCTGCATTTGGATCTAGTGGTGAAGAAAGTGATGCTGAACAGAGTGATGATGAGGTTGCGAAAGGTGCAGAGGGTCAGGGACGATTAAAACTGCCAAAGAGCCGATCAAAAAAACATTTAATGAATACTCTTGCCGATGAGGAGGATATTAATTATGATAGTGTAACTAGAAATTCATTAGTATTTTTAGATGAGAAGGAACTGAAGCCTGGTTATCGTGGTTCACTAGTATTTGATGATGATGAAAGTGATATTATGAATGCTGGAATGAGCTCGGTGAAAAAGGATAACTATAGTTCTGTAGGACTTAATGAGATAGGTCAAATGATGGGTTCAGACGGATCCCACAATAGAAATAATGGTGGTAAGGCAACAAGTAGTACCGGTATATATTCTAGTCCCAGAAAAATGCCTCAATTTACCAAAGGCCTTGGAAATATAATTGGTCAAGGAAGTTCATCTAAGCTGTTTATTAAAACAAGAGACAGTGGCTTTGATGAAAAGAAATTTGGCAAACTCCCTACAAAGGTTCATGTCAGTAAACCTCCAATACATCAAGCAGTGAAAAAGGACAAAAATGTGGATGAGCTTTCAGTTGAGATCTCTGATAAGGTAGACAAAGTTTCCAAAAATTCAGTGGAAAAAGAGGCTGCTTTCAATGATATTGCTACTTCCTCTACTCGACAGAAGATTAAGTCGTTTGAGAATCGAGAAGAAATTCAGGCGCTGGCTCGTCAGACATTATCAAAAGTGACTGCTGTTGATAGCGGTAGTTTCATAGTTAAGAAAGATAGTGATAAACCCTCTAGTGCTATTAGACAATTCCCCACAAGACAATCTAGTATAGATACTAGTTCCAGTAGTAAAAAATCTCCCACCAGAATTCCTGTTAAAAAGCGGTCAGCTTCAATGTCTCGTATGACTCCCAGTGAGGTCAATGAGGTACTCGCCAGTATTAGCCCCCGGTCATTGGATGGTGGAGAATCCAAGATTCCTCAACCCCCACCTGGGGCCCCTCGTACAATTAATGCAAGGTGTGTATCAATTTTTTCATTTGATAATTAAATGTTTACCTCTTTTCTAAAATTATATGTTAAGTGCTGTAATTCTTGCTTTAAGAAATATTGTGACACAATCTTTTATATATATACAATTATTCCGCTTTGCTCAAGTTTATCCTGTTCAATATAAAACATTTCTGCCACTTGGTATGGTCTCAGCTTGGCCACCCAACAATATTTGTTCATTCAAATAATTTGTGCAAAGTTCCAAATAATAGAAAAGAGTTTGAATGGTGTAGTACAGGGAATGAAAAGTAATATATTTTTCTATTCAGCAATATTTCTTAATCGAATGAAGAAAACCCAAAGTTGTCTCTTTTCTGTTGTGTTTGTGTAATTTTGTCCAACCTAGACTATTTTACTTGTTTTTAAATGTTCAAAGTAAAACGTGCTAATTTCAAAAATATCCATAAAAAAAATTGCATTTAAATTTTAAAGGCCAACACTAACTGTAATTTCTAATAGAAGAAAGAAACTACCATAAGGGTAATTTTGTTTGTTGTCATAGCAACGTAGCATTTTTGATGCTTGTTTGATGCTCATTTTGGTATTAAGATATCGAATTCATAGAATGATTTTGTCTTGCTGGTATTGGAAATGCTTGGTGATAATGTATATATTATATCCAATGTATTTGTTGTTTTTGTTGGATATGGTTGGTGTAGGCTTTTTATATTGCTAAGATTATTGGTGATGGATGATATTTTATTATGGTAATGGAAAAAAGACTTTTGACATAAAATATATATATCCTTAAAACTAGTTGATAAATCATAATCTATTATTTTTTAAATGTTTAGAATAAGCTTATATGTATTTTATTAAATGTGTAGATCTATTTTTTATTTGATGATAATTCTGATAGATTTTTTGTGATATTGTTGTTTGAACCTTACTTCAGTTGCTTTTTGTTTATTTGCTGTGGCACGTTTTTTTGTTTTGCAGGCGACGTCGCTATAAAGTGGCATCTGCCAATACAAGTCCACGCGAACCTACATCACCGTGAGCATGTTTTTTCTACCTAATTGACATAGTTTTATTTGCCTGTCCGTTATCATCATCCAACTTACCAAAGTTTTGTCATATTGTCTTCCCTGACCATAGCCATATAGCAACATAATGTAAGGCATTGGATAGGTAAATTTCATTTTATTTTTTTTTGTGCACTTGTAATTTTTCTAACCCATGCAATAGATAGAATACAATTTAGTTTATTTCTTTAACTATTTTCATCTCCCTGCCCAAATAACCAAACTCTTTACTATCATAGATTATTTTTAGAAATTCTTTAGATGCTTATTGTTTATGTAGAGCGTTTTTTGTGCAATTCCTATTTCAATTTTTTTTTTTAGCTTAGTATACCTATATTAACTATATGCATGCTTTGTTAATTGTGGTAATTTTTGTGTGCCTATCTCATACATTCTTCATTATTGTTTCCATTTCAAGAGCTAGATTTAGGACATTATTAGATAATATGTTTCCAAAATATGGATTCAAACCACATAGAGAGTTTCATTTAGATCCAGAATGGATTAAGTTTGTTGTATCTTAAGACCCCTGAAGTCATTATAATTATTTATGATTTATATTTCAGAAACCTAGTTAGTGAAGATGACAATAATGAAGAAGAAGAAGAAACTAATTTATAGTGCCATGTTATATTATAGCGTATTATAAAACATATGTTATAATTAATGTTATGTTATAATGTAGCATACACTATATTGATTAATGTTATGTTATCATATAGCATATACTATCTTGATTAATGTTATGTTATCATATAGCATATACTATCTTGATTAATGTTATGTTATCATATAGCATATGTTATAATGTAGCATTACTATCATGATTAATGTTATGCTATCATATAGCATATTTTATGATGTTTTATGCTATGTTATAATGTAGCATACACTATCTTGATTAATGTTATGTTATCATATAGCATGTGTTATAATTAATGTTATGTTATAATGTAGCATACACTATCTTGATTAATGTTATGTTATCATATAGCATATGTTATAATTAATATTATGTTATAATGTAGCATATACTATCATGATTAATGTTATGTTATCATATAGCATATTTTATAATTAATGATATGTTATAATGTAGCATACACTATCTTGATTAATGTTATGTTATCATATAGCATATGTTATAATTAATATTATGTTATAATGTAGCATATACTATCTTGATTAATGTTATGTTATCATATAGCATATGTTATAATTAATATTATGTTATAATGTAGCATATACTATCATGATTAATGTTATATTATCATATAGCATATGTTATAATTAATGTTATGTTATAATGTAGCATACACTATCTTGATTAATGTAATGTTATCATATAGCATATGTTATAATTAATGTTATGTTATAATGTAGCATATATTATCTTGATTAATGTTTTATTATCGTATAGCATATGCTATAATTAATGTTATGTTATAATGTAGCATACACTATCTTGATTAATGTTATGTTATCATATAGCAAATGTTATAACTAATGTTATATTATAATGTAGCATATACTATCATGATTAATGTTATGTTATCATATAGCATATGTTATAATTAATGCTATGTTATAATGTAGCATACACTATCTTGATTAATGTTATGTTATCATATAGCATATGTTATAATTATCAAATAAGCCAATTTATGTAGCTTGATGCCAATTTTGAAAGTGCCATGAAATTAACTTATGGCATATATTCAATGCATCCATCAACCAAGCAGTCTTAAGATAACAGATCTTCAGATTAATGCACCTAACTAATTCTATTTCGGACTATCATTCAATATTTTACAGAAAAATTAATTCAATTGGCAT